AGCCCTGCCAAGTCATGTATTTACTACTGTCCATCTCCCTTCCCTTCTCCCTGTCTCCCCCAAACAATTTTCATTAAGTGCACAAAGTGTACAATCAACTTCCACAAAAAAATACACACTTTTGGGGCTGGACACAGTGGCTCACACCTGTAATCCCAGCACTTTGGGAGGCTGAGGTGAGAGGATCCCTTGAGTTCAAGAGTTTGAGACCAACCTGGGCAACATGGCAAGACCCTGTCTCTACAAAAAATAAATTTAAAAAAAAAAGCTAAAAATTAGTCAGGTGTGGTGGCATGCACCTGTAGTCCCAGCTACTTGGGAGGCTGAGGTGGGAGGATGGTTTGAGCCTGAGAGATCAAGGCCGCAGTGAGCTGTGATGTCACTGTACCCCAACCTGGGCGACACAGAAAGAATTGTCTCCAAAAACAAAAACTCACTTCTGTAGCCAGGACTCAGACACTGAATGTCAACGCACGTCCTAAGTATCCCCTCAAACTCCTTTCTCCCAGTGGCTGTAGCCACTACCCGGACCCAGTTCCAACCTCTGCAGCAGAAATTCTTTCTCCTGCTTTTGCTTGTTGGTGGCTGCTGCCCTCTGCTGGCTGCCTGCAGGAGCTGCACTCAGGGAAGGGAAAGGCCCCGCACCTGGCGTTGTTGTGTTGTGTTGTGCTGTGTTGTGTTGTGTTGTGTTGTGCTGTGTTGTGTTGTGTTTGTTGTACTGTGTCGTGCCTTTTTGAGATGGAGTCTCACTCTGTCACGCAGGCTGGAGTGCAGTGGTGTGACCTCAGCTCACTGCAACCTCCGCCTCCCTGGTCCAAGTGATTCTCCTGCCTCAGCCTCCTGAGTAGCTGTGACTACAAGCACCCGCCACCACGCCCGGCTAATTTTTGTATTTTTAGTAGAGACAGGGTTTCACCATATTGGCCAGGCTGATCTGGAACTTCTGACCTTGTGATCAGCCCGCCTCAGCCTCCCAAAGTGCTGGGATTACAGGCATGAGCCACTGTGCCCGGCCTTAGTTTTCCATTAGGTTGGTGCAAAACCACAATTAGTTTGCACCAACCTAAAATATTTGCTGTGGTGGCAAATTACCACCACCTCTGCGGCCCAAAACAACATGAATGTATTCTCTTACTGTAGGTCAGGTTTCTGGCACAGGCCTCACTGGGCTAAAATCGACGTGCCTACAGGGCTGGCTCCCTCTGGAAGCTCCGGGGGAGAAGCCATCCGTGCCTTCTGCAGCATCCAGAAGCCCCTGTCTTCCTGTCTGTGACCCCTTCCTCGCCATGTCTTCGTGCTGCCTCTTCTCTGGTTCTTCTTTTATGAGGATTCATGATTAGACTGGGTCTGTGGGGATAAACCAAGACAATCTCCCCATCTCAAAGTTCTTAATCTTCACGGCTTTATTTTATTTTATTTTATTTTATTTGAGACAGAGTTTCAGTCTTGTCACCCAGGCTGGAGTGCAATGGAGCAGTCTCGGCTCACTGCAACCTCCACCTCTCAGGTTCAAGGGATTCTCCTACCTCAGCCTCCCAAGTAGCTGGGATTACAGGCGTGGGCCGCCACGTCCAGCTAATGTTTGTATTTTAGTAGAGACGGGGTTTCATCACATTGACCAGGCTGATCTTGAACTCCTGACCTCAGGTGAGCCACCCACCTCGGCCCCCCAAATTACTGAGATTATAGGCATGAACCACCGCACCCAGTCTCTTCATGGCATCTTAAAGTCTCGTTTGCCATGCAGATGAACAAGCTGCAGATCTGGGGATCAGGGTGAAAAACACTGATAAATTGCATTTTACAGGCGGTCCACGAAACATAGCTGACATTTGAGATGTATGTGTGCTTGGTTTGTGTCGTCACGTAGTTAACTGTGTGCTGGAAGAAGTACACCAGAACGTGAACAGCGGGTGTAGGCAGGTTGGTAGTAGGTGATCTGCCTCCCTCCTTCCCAGAAGTTCAGCATAGTGGTTAAGGGTGGACTTTGGCACCGCACGGTCAGGGTTTCAGAACATGGCTCTGCCATCGGTTAGCTACACAATCTCAGGAATGTCCATCAGCTTCCCTGTGCCTGAGTTTCCTCATCTGTACAGTCGTAACACAGTGCCCAGCCCACACGGCTGTCAGAGCTGCAGGAGCTGGTACACCTGCTAATGGTGTCTCAGAATTGCCAGGAGCGGTCCAAGCAGCACCCTGTCCTGTGAGACCACCTCCCCAACTCTACAAAAAACGTAAAAATGAGCTGGGTGTGGACCAAGCTTGGTAGCTCATGCATGTTGGGAGGCCAAGGTGGGTGGATCACATGAGGTCAGGAGTTCGAGACCAGCCTAGGCAACATGGTGAAACCCCATCTCTACTAAAAATACAAATATTAGCCAGGTATGGTGGCGCGTGCATGTAATCCCAGCTATTCACGAGGCTGAGGCACAAGAATCACTTGAGTCCGGGAGGCAGAGTTTGCAGTGTGCTGAGATCATGCCACTGTACTCCAGCCTGGGTGACAGAGCAAGGCTTTTTTCAAAAAGAAAAAAAAAAAGAAAAAAGAAATAGCTGGGTGTGGTGGTGCACACCTGTAGTCCCAGCTACTTGGGAGGCTGATACACGAGGATCACTTGAGCCCAGAAGGTTGAGGCTGTGGTGAGCCATGATTATGCCATGCACTCCAGCCTGGGTAACAGTGAGAGCCTGTCTCAAAAAGGAGAAAAAAAAACAAAAACAAAAACAGAAAGTAGTAAGAATTGAAAGGGAAAGAATTGAAAGAATTGACTGGGATCCTTGTTGGTAGAGATGTCAAGTGGTACAGCCACTGTGAAAACAGTTTGGTGATTTCTAAACAAATATTAAACATGGAATTAGCACATAATCCAGCAATTCCACATCTGGATGTATCCCCAGAAGTGAAAGCAGGGACTAGAACAGATATTTGCACACCCATGCTCATAGCTGCATCATTCAAACAACTAAAACACAGAAGCAATCCAAGTGTCTCTCCATGGATGAACAGATCGACAAAATGTGTTCTATCCATATAATGGAATATAATTCAGCCTGAAAAAGGCAGGAAATGCTGACACGTGCTACTGCATGGATGAGCCTCTGAAGACCTTATGCTCAGTAAAATAAGCCAGCATACACTTGTAGTCCCAGCTACTCAGGAGGCTGAAGCAGGAGGCTCACCTGAGCCCAGGAGTTTGGGGCTGCAGTAAGTGATGATTGCACCACTGCACTCCAGCCTGGGCAACAGAGCAAGACCCCGTCTCTAAAAAATATAACATAGACTGGGCATGGTGACTCAGGCCTATAATCCCAGCACTTTGGGAGACCAAGGTGGGTGGATCACTTGAGGTCAGGAGATCGAGACCAGCCTGGCCAATATGGTGAAACTCTGTCTCTACTAAAAATACAAAAATTAGCCAGGCGTGGTGGTGAGTGCTTTTAATCTCAGCTACTGGCGAAGCTGAGGCAGAAGAACGGCTTAAACCTGGGAGACCAGGGGTTGCAATGAGCCAAGATCGTGCTGCTGCACTCCAGCCTGGGCGACAGAGGGAGACTCTGTCTCAAAAAAAAAAAAAATGTTTAAAGATAAAATAATAATAACAAGCCAGTCACAAACAGACAGAATACTGCAGGATTCCACTTACATGAGGCCCCTAGAGTCATCGAATTCATAGAGACAGAAAGTAGAACGGGGGTCCAGGGGCTACGGGAGGGGAATAGGGCATTACTTAACGAGTACAGTTTTCACTTTGCAAGATGAAGAGGGCTCTGGAGATGGGTGGTAGTGGTGGTTTCGACCATGTGAATGAACTTAACGCCACTGACTTGTTCACTTAAAAATGGTTAAGATGGTCAATGCTATTCTATGTACATTTTATCACAATAAAGAAAAAGGAAGGCCAGGCACAGTGGCTCAAGCCTGTAATCCCAGCACTTTGGGAGGCTCAGGCAGGCAGATTACGAGGTTAGGAGTTCAAAGCTTGCCTGGCCAACAGGGTGAAGCCCCGTCTCTACTAAAAATACAAAAATTAGCTGGGTGTGGTGGTGCACGCCTATAGTCCCAGCTACTCGGGAGGCTGAAGCAGGAGAATTGTTTGAACCCGGAAGGTAGAGGTTGCAGTGGGCCCAGATGGTGCCACTGCACTCCAGCCTGAGCCATAGATCGAGACTCTGTCTGAAAAAAAGAGAAAAAAAGGGGATTCGTGGTTGGGGGGGGAGGGGAGGAGTAAATGCTAACGGGTTTCTTCTTGGTGTGATGAAAATGTCCTGAAGTTAGACAGCAGTAAGGGTTGCACAACCTTGTGACCACATTGAAAACCACTGAAGTGTAACTTTAAAAGGGTGAATTGTATGGTATGTGAATTATATCTCAATTAAAAAAACAAACTCAACTGGCATCACCCCCTGCCCCACCCTGTAGTAAAGCTGGGTCCTTGTTGGCTGGTGAGGGCTCTCCTAATCTGCACCCCCTCCTCACCTCCAGACCCACCGCCTTGCTGCTCCTGGAACCCCAGCCCTCCCCTGTGCTCTGCTCTTCTGTTCTCCGTGTGCCCAACTCTTCCCCCCACACCTACGTACTTGGCTCCTCCCAGCCTTCACCTGTACCTTTACAGAGACCCCATCAGACCACCCGGCCCCCCACCCTCCATACGCCCACCCCGTGAACAGACTCCCTTTCCCCTGGCTCTTCTGAATTTCTGGCATACTGTATGATTTCCTTGTTTTTATTTTTTAATCGAGATGGGGTCTCGCTATGTTACCCAGGCTGGTCTCGAACTCCTGGGCTCAATCAATCCTGCCTCAGCCTCCCAAAGTGCAGGCATTGCAGGCTAAGCCACCATGCCCGCCAGGACCTTATCTTCTGGAGCGTGTCGCTTTTGTACTTATGATGTAAACTCCGGGCACGCAGGGACCCTCGAACTTCACTAATGTGTCCCCAGCCCCTACTACCTGACACAGTAGGCGCTCAATAATGTTGATTTAATAAAAGACTGTTAATTTGGAAATCATGTATTATTTAAATCACATTTTGAAACACAAATAAACTTCTGAGTAGTGTTTTCTGCACACACAAGAGGTCCCCAGGTGCACCAAAGAACGCATTTTCCACGTTTGTCCCTAAACGTTAATGCATAAGTAACGTTTGTCACTAACAGGTGTGAGGTCACGTGACGTTCGGGCTGCGCCCTCCCTGGCCCGACCCCGCCCTGCACACAGTAGTGCCGCACTGCGCTTTGCAAACAGGTGGACTCTGCAGAGGCGCAACCGCCCTCACCGCAGAGAGTTGAGCCGCCGGCAGTCTCTGGACACCCAAGCCCCACCTCCCACCCGGAAAAGAGACGATCTGCCGGGCGCAGGCGCAGGCGCAGGCGCCACGCCCGGCCGCTGCGCCGCCAACCAGGGCGGAAACGGCTACGGCTTCGCTCGGGGCGCATGCGCGGTTCCCGGAGTTTTTCGCGAGATAACAGTCCAAAAGGCGCCCCGGTCGACTTCCGGTAGGGAATTCGGCACCGGAGTGCACGGCCGAGGGTGGAACTTTGGGCCGCTGGGCAAGCGGCGATACCTGGCCAGGGCCAGACAGTCGAAGACAGCGGGCGCGCGGACGGCCGGGCCACAGCCCCGACCGCCTGCAGGCCCCGCCATGGACCCGTTCCTGGTGCTGCTGCACTCGGTGTCGTCCAGCCTGTCGAGCAGTGAGCTGACCGAGCTCAAGTTCCTATGCCTCGGGCGCGTGAGCAAGCGCAAGCTGGAGCGCGTGCAGAGCGGCCTGGACCTCTTCTCCGTGCTGCTGGAGCAGAACGACCTGGAGCCCGGGCACACCGACCTCCTGCGCGAGCTGCTCGCCTCCCTGCGGCGCCACGACCTGCTGCGGCGCCTCGACGACTTCGAGGCGGGGGTGGCTGCCGGGGCCGCGCCTGGGGAAGAAGGTGGGCTCCGGGTCGGGCCGAGGGAGCCAGGGCCTGGTCGTCCGGGTGTAGGTGCTGCGAGGCTCCTCCCGTTGGCCTCCAGGCGCTTCCCCTTTGCCGGGTTTGATTTGCGTGGGTTTTCTCCGTTCAGCCCTTGCTTTGCAGATGGGAGAGCCAAAAACGCAGAAAAGTTCACTTACTCAAGGTTGCAGGGCCTGGTCGCGCCCAGTTCTTTTTCTTCCACCCCTTTCTGCCCGGGTAAATTAGAAAACTCACTGAAGAAAAGGTGAGGAGGAGTCAGAGAAGGTGCGGGGGAGGGGCAGAGGTTGGGTGAGCCTGCGCGCATCATTTCCCTTCTGTCTCGGAACATATCCAGGGAATGCCCTTCTCGGCTGTCTGAGAGTAATACTGTCATTCAGTAACTCTTACCCAGGGGCTTACGGTGAGCCGTTTACCCCTCTCACTGCCAAATATAATTTTCGCAGTAGCCCCGTGGCTGAGATACTGTTACGTATCACTGTTCGCATTTTACAGAGGACAGGACTGTGGCTCACAGGTCAAGTGGCTTGCGGAAATGCGTAGCCGATGATTAACAGAGCTAGGCTTGGACCAAGCAGTCTGGCCTCCGGATGGGTGGTGTTAGTGCCTGCACTGCCACTCTGGTCAAGTTCATTGTGGAGTGGCTTCCTGTCCTGCTCTCGGTCACTCCCTCTCCACCCTCGCCTGTGGCTTGCGGCAGCTTCCAGGATAAAAATGAGAAACCCTGAGTACAACAGTTTCTCAGCCCTACCCCCTTGTTCTCAGAGGCGGGAGAGGCTTGGGGAGTGCACTGGGGACGCCTCTCAGAGGCTTTCAAACTGTGGCCTGGAATCAACCATTCAGTCACGAATCAGGGCATCAATGTGACACCATGGGTTTCACTCTATAAGGACTGGTGCCTGTTCAGGGCATGGTGGACAGAACAGCTCTCTGCCTGAAAACAGTCAAGTCCAGATTTTAAAAAAACAAAAGTGCTGAACAAGCACAACAGGACGGGATTCATGGATATTTAATGTCTGGAAAAACACTGATAAATTGCATTTTACAGGCGGTCCACGAAACATAGCTGACATTTGAGATGTATGTGTGCTTGGTTTGTGTCGTCACGTAGTTAACTGTGTGCTGGAAGAAGTACACCAGAACGTGAACAGTGGGTGTAGGCAGGTTGGTAGTAGGTGATCTGCCTCCCTCCTTCCCAGAAGTTCAGCATAGTGGTTAAGGGTGGACTTTGGCACCGCACGGTCAGGGTTTCAGAACATGGCTCTGCCATCGGTTAGCTACACAATCTCAGGAATGTCCATCAGCTTCCCTGTGCCTGAGTTTCCTCATCTGTACAGTCGTAACACAGTGCCCAGCCCACACGGCTGTCAGAGCTGCAGGAGCTGGTACACCTGCTAATGGTGTCTCAGAATTGCCAGGAGCGGTCCAAGCAGCACCCTGTCCTGTCTCTCCTTTCCTCTCTTCATGTTCCAGAAACGGCCTTTTATGGTCTTGTGACCAGCTCCCTGATCTCAGTGGTGATGTCAGCAGATGAGGAGTATGGTAGCCAGGGACTGAAGACTGGTGGTCAGTCGGAGCAGCTTTCGAAATAACAATTGGAGTGCCTACTAGTTTCCTGTGATTGCCATAACAAATGATCACAAATCTGGTGGCCTAAAGCAATAGAAATCTACCCCCTCAGTCTGGAGGCCAGAAAACTGAACGAGCAGGGTGCCACAGACCCGCACACCCTCAGAATGCTGTTGGGGAGGGTCCTTCCACGTCTCTTCCGCTTTGTGGTGGCTCCAGGCATTCTTTGACTTGTGGCCGCTTCACTCCAGGCTTGCACAGCCTTCCCTGTGTGTCTCCTACAAGGATGCCTGTCACTGGTGCATCCAGGTCATCCAGGATGATCTCTCAAGACCCTCAGCTTACCTTTGCAAAGACCCTTTTTCCAAAGAAGTTAACCTTCATGCTTTCAGCAATTTCACATGAACATCCCTTGAGGTGACATCATTCAACCTGCTATAGGGCAGGATGTGGAGTCAGCCCTATTTTCTTCCCTCCGACAACTCCCCAGCCCCGTCCCTCAGTGTCTCCTGCCCTCAGTAGGTAGCTCTACTGCAATTTCCTTTGGCACTTGAGTCTTCAGTGGGCCACACTCCTAGGATAGTATTGGAGAGCAGGGGGTTTGCCTGCGGTGGAATCAGGCCACTCTTGGGCATTTGGTGAGAGCCCCTCTGCTGCCAGGCGGCTCTAGTCTCTGCGGAGGAGCTCGTGTAGGTACCTCTGTCCCCTGAGCACTCGGTGTCAGTGCTGAAAAGCCCTGGGGAGGGTTGTGGGGTTGCTTGTGTCCAAACCCCTGGTAAACCGCTCTGTTCTTTCCTTCTCAGACCTGTGTGCAGCATTTAACGTCATATGTGATAATGTGGGGAAAGACTGGAGAAGGCTGGCTCGTCAGCTCAAAGTCTCAGACGCCAAGATTGACGGCATCGAGGACAGATACCCCCGCAACCTGACAGAGCGCGTGCGGGAGTCACTGAGAATCTGGAAGAACACAGAGAAGGAGAACGCAACGGTGGCCTGCCTGGTGGCGGCTCTCAGGGCCTGCCAGATGAACCTGGTGGCCGACCTGGTACAAGAGGTTCAGCAGGCCCGGGACCTCCAGAACAGGAGTGGGGCCATGTCCCCAATGTCATGGAACTCAGACGCATCCACCTCCGAAGCATCGTGATGGGCCGCTGCTCTGCCCTGGTGGACCACAGGAATTGGCACAGCCTGGAGTTCGGTTCTCTCCAGAAAGGTAGCCCAGCACTGTGAAGACCCAGCAGGAAGCCAGGCTGAATGAGCCACAGACCAGCTGCTTCTGAACTCAAGCTGCATTTATTGATGCCTCTCCCGCACCAGGCCGGGCTTGGGCCCTGCACAGGTATTTCCATTTCTTCCTCACTATCAGTCTGAGCAAGATCCTGTTGTTTCCACTAAACGAACTCCTACGGGAGTAGCTGGAAAGTTGGAACCGTGTCCAGCACAGAAGGAATCTGTGCAGATGAGCAGTCTCACTGTTACTCCACAGCGGAGGAGACCAGCTCAGAGGCCCAGGAACCGGAGCAAAGCAGGGAGGTGTGGGAGAACTGGGATATGAACCCCGGCCATCCGACACCAGAGCCCGTACTCAACCACTGTGTCGTTCTGCTGCCCCCGCAGTTGGCAGCGAGGCTGTTTTGTCCTATTTCCTTGGAGGCCACCGCGGCAGACCTGGACACTAGGGTCAGGTGGGGTGGTGTGGCGGGGAGAGGTGTTGCTGGGGTCGGGGTGGGGAGTGGGGTTGGGGTGGGGAGACCTGGTTGGCCATGGTCCAGCTCTTGGCCCCTGCGTGAGTTGAGTCTCCTCTCTGAGACTGCTAAGTAGGGACAGTGATGGTTGCCAGGACGAATTGAGATAGTATCTGTTTGGTGCTCATGAGTGACGGACACACAGCACTCTAAATCTAACTTGTAAGGATTATGGGTCCTGCAATTCTACAGTCTCTTACTATTTTGTATCAAAACCACTATCTTTCTGATAACAGAATTGTCAAGGCAGCAGGATCTTGTGTCTTTAAAAAGCAGTCCTCTTGTTTCTAAGGTAATCCCGTTAAAACACTTGACTTTACAACTTCCATATTGCAAAGAATTTTCCATTCCTGTTGGTGATTCTTTCATTTCGGATATGCTGGATATTCCCGGTACCGCCGGTTTCAGGATCCCTGTCAAGGGCTCCAGCCTGGGATGGGGCGGCTGGATTTCCTGACAGCTCGCTAGCTGCTCATGAGCAGGGTCTGCCCTTAGCGAATGGTGGTCTGCTAGGGTAGCTTTTGCCGCTCTTAGAATTTCCCTGCCCCACCGAGAGAATCAGAATCAAAGCCAAGTGGCTATTCTCTGTCCCAGTTCACCAGCTGTGACGTGGGAAAGTCCAGTGTGCCGTGCTGTAGGTGGGATCTCAGCCAAGGCCGCAGGACACTGTCCACACTAAGCTGTGGACCCCGGCCTTTGAGCCCCTCCACGCTGTCGCCTGACACTTCCGGATGCCAGACACCTTGCTAGGAGCAAAGGCCACAGCAATGAATGGGACAGAAGTGGAGCCCCGCTCCGTTTGCCTCGGAAACCTAGCAGAAACAAGCTTTCCCCCGTTCATCACTAGCTTGGGTGCCGCCGTGGAGCTAAGCTGGTTGCCATCCCAAAACGGCATAGCCTGACCTCCTACACACTGTGCACCCCCGACCCGGCGCACGCCCGCTCTCAAGGCGCAGGTCAGGGCTAGTTCTGTAGAGAACAGACACGTCGCGCCTCACTGTCCCTAAGTGTGAGCAGCTTGGCTTTGAGGAAGAGATTTTCATGCAGTGAGTGGGAAAGTAATTTTTTTTTTTTTTTTTTTTTTTTTTTTTTGAGATGGAGTCTCACTCTGTTGCCCAGGCTGGAGTACAGTGGCACAATCATGGCTTGCTGCGACCTCCACCTCCCAGATTCAAAGGATTCTCCTGCCTCAGCCTCCCGAGTAGCTGGGATTACAGATGTGCACTACCACACCCGGCTAATTTTTTGTAGTTTTAGTAGAGACAGGGTTTTACCATCTTGGCCCGGCTAGTCTCGATACTCTGACATTAGGCGATCCACCCATCTCGGCCTCCCAAAGTGCTGGGATTACAGGTGTGAGCCATCGCACCCGGCCTGGGTTTCCATTCTCAGTAGTCCTGACTGTACTCCTTTCGGGGCCACCACTGTCCATGTCTAGGACAGGGGAAGTGTACCAGCCCCTGGCAGCAAAGCCACAGAGAATGGTGACATGCAGCAGACTTGCTCCCTGGGGAGAACTCAGCATGGACAAGAAACTGCCCCCAGAAGACGCGATTCAAAGCCAGGTCGAAACACCCATTTGTTCAGCCAACCCATCAATCCATTCACCAAGCATCTGCCATAACGGCACTGGGCGCTGCACTGAGGCTACCGCAGAGCCAGACGGGCAGCTGTCCTCAGGACACAGAATGTTCTTCGTAAAACAAAAGGGAGCAGTGTAGAACACACATCCGAGGGTACAGAAAACTCAAATGCTTCTCTGGGCACTGCAGAAGGACAGGTGACGGTGGCACGTATTTGATCATGGCAGTTATTTTCTGGATGATAAGCTGTGTATACTTTTTGTACTTCTACATTTTCTTTTCCTTTTCTTTCTTTTTTTTTTTTTAATGAGATGGAATTTTGCTCTTGTCGCCCAGGCTGGAGTGCAACGGCGCGATCTCGGCTCACTGCAACCTCCGCCTCCCGGGTTCAAGCTTCTCCTGTCTCAGCCTCCTGGAGTAGCAGGGATTACAGGCACCTGCCACTATGCCTGGCACATTGTTGTACTTTTAGTAGAGACAGAGTTTCGCCATGTTGGCCAGGCTGGTCTCGAACTCCTGCTCTCAGGTGATCCACCCGCCTCGCCCTCCCAAAGTGCTGAGATTACAGGCGTGAGCCACCATGCCCGGCCACTTTCCACATTTTCTATGATTTTTTCTTTTTCTTTTTCTTTTTTTTTTGAGATGGAGTCTCACTCTGTCGCCCAGGCTGGAGTGCAGTGGTGTGATCTCGGCTCACAGCAAGCTCCACCTCCCAGGTTCACGCCATTCTCCTGCCTCAGCCCCCCGAGTAAGTGGGACTACAGGCACCCACCATTATGCTCGGCTAATTTTTTGTATTTTTAGTAGAGACGGGGTTTCACTGTGTTAGCCAGGATGGTCTCGATCTCCTGACCTCATGATCCACCCGCCTCTGCCTCCCAAAGTGCTGGGTTTACAGGCACAAGCCACCGCGCCCCGCCGTATTTTTCACTTTTAAAAAATTGTCTGCCAGATACAGTAGTAGGTGTAACCTGAACCATTTGATGGGGCGTGTTTCCGGAGAGCAGGGGAGAACATGGGTGTCAGTCCTGGCTCAGTCCCTTCGGCCTCCATCCCTCTGAAAGGGGCCACTAGATAAATTTTAATTGCTTGCCAAAATCTGGGGCAACTTGCTTCTCAGCCTTCAAAAATAAGCAGTGAGGCTGGATGCAGTGGCTCAACTGTAATCCCAACACTTTGGGTGGCCAAGGTGGGTGGATCACTTGAGGTCAGGAGTTTGAGACCAGCCTGGCCAACATGGTGAAACCCTGTCTCTACTACAAAAATTAGCCGGGCGTGGTGGCACATGCCTGTAATCCCAGCTACCTGGGAGGCTGAGGCAGGAGAATCACTTGCACCCGGGAGGCAAAAGCTGCAGTGAGCAGAGATCGATCGCACGTCTGCACTCCAGCCTGGGTGACAGAGCAAGACTTCGTTTCAAAAAATAAAAATAAGCAGTGAGATTTCGCCCAGAACCCCAGAGGCCAGGCCCCAGGTCATTCTGTTGCCTCACTGGCCCACAGAGCCCTTGAGCCCAGCTTCTGCCTCTGGTCCTGAGATGTCGCCTCTCACCCCGCTGTCTCTGCAGCTGAGACGGGAGAGGCAGAGGCAGAGCGTTTGCCTGCCACTGACATGAAAGACTGCTCCAAGGGGAAGGCGTTCTGGATCTTCAGAACCTCTCTGGGACAGGACAGCACCACCCCCCGACCCTAAGTGGAGGCTGCTGCAGTTTTTGGACATGGATTTCTTAAAGCAACTTGAAAAACAAATTCCATGTTCTTTTTTTTTTCTTTTCTTTTACTATCAGGTAGAATTTGTGTTTCTGGAAAAGGTACACACAAATCTCAGGCTTGCTTGAAAGCTGGAGGTAACAGCCGCCTCTTGCTCTCTGACTCCTTTTTCCCCTGAGAAAGAAGAGAGAAGACGAGTCCAAATGTCTGTGCTTTGTGGGGGACTTCAAGGGAATTTGATAAGCGTTTCCTGAAACCCAAGGGTCGACCCTCTGGTCTTCAGGTTCCGGCAGCCTCCCCGCTTCCTGCCCTTCTGCCTTCTGTTACACAGTGCCCCTCCACGCCACACTCACACTGGCTGCCAGATTCTCACGGCCACCCCTCTCCAGGCCTCACTCCCTGGTGCTCCTGAGACCACACCCCTCACAAACTCTACTTGCTGAAGTCACAGGCTGCTGCAGCTTTTTTGTTCTGTCAGAATCTCTAGGGCATCTGACACCTTCCGTGACCATTCTCTCCAGGAGCTCTTCTCCCCGCTCCCCGCTGTACTCCTCTCAGGCTCCCTCATGCTCTCCCCCAGCCCCAGCCTCATGCCTCCTCTAGGGAGCACAGCCGTTTCTTAGCCTCACCTATCCTGGGTCCCTAGTACCTGCCAGGTATCTCTCTAGCCCAGATCTTTCTCTTGCCCCAGACCCCAGCTGCCTAGGGGCAGCCTCACAGCGGCTGCTACAGCAAACTACCACATAGTTACCGCCTTAAACAGCACACATTTATCTTATGGTTCTGGAGGCCAGAGGTCCAAAGTGGCTCTCCCTGGTCTACAGATCACGTGTCAGCAGGCTCCTCCTGGAAGACCTAGATGAGAATCCATGTCTTGCCTTTTGCATCTTCTAGAGGCCGCCTGCAATCTTTAACTCATGGCCCCTCCCTCCATCTTCAGGTCCACAGACGAGCATCTTCCCATCTCTCTGACTGATTCTCCTGCTTCTCTCTTACAAAAACTCTTGTGACTGCATTGGGCCACCTGGATAACCCAGGATCCTCTTCCCATCTCAGCATCCTTAATTTAAACACATCTGCAGAATTTCTTTGCCATGTAAGGGAACATATTCACAGATCCCAGGGATTAGGACATGGGTACTGCCAGGCGTGCAAGCCACACCTCACATTCACCTCCCTGCAGTCTGAGCCGCGTTCCATGCCTGACACCACCGTCTAGTCAGTCGCCCAAGCCACAAACCCTCCTTCCTCTCCCCACTATCACTCTCTTCCGTCAATTAAAACTGAGCCCTGAGACAGGTGCAGTTGCTCTCATCTGTAATCCCCGTACTTTGGGAGGCTGAGGAGGGAGGATCACTTGAACCTAGGAGTTTTAAGGCCAGCCTGGCCAACATAGGGAAACCTCATCTCTAAAAAAAATAAAAATAAAAATAAATGTAGCTGGATGTGGTCATGTGCACCTGTGCTCCCAGCTAGTCGGGAGACTGAGGCAGGAGGATTGCTTGAGCCCAGGAGGATGAGGCTGCAGTGAGCCGTGATCACATCACTGCAATCCAGCCTGGATAACAGAGCAAGACTCTGTCTCAAAAAAATAAAAACAAAACTGAGCACCAGGTCCTACACTTTGTAACTCACAAGTGTCTCTCCTGTCCACCTCTTCTGCTCCCTGCTGCCACCCCCATTCCCAGTGGGGTCTCAGCCCTTTCCACTGGACAACCACAGTGAGTGACCTCCCAATTCATCTCCCGCCTCTGCCACTGCCCCCTGCCCCCTCCACTCATCCAGCCTGTCTCCCGTCAGCAGCCAGAAATAAACTGAGTCATGACAGTCCCCTGACTCTTCTTAGAAGCCATGAGCTCTGCCACATTTTTTCGTTTTATAATTTTTTCCGTGATAATTAATCTGAGTCATCTTGCTGACTGCTTGCTAGCCACACAAATCCTGTGTGAATTGCATTTGGAATCAGACAGGCAAACATGACGTGGGGTACCGTGTGCTCAAGCCAGAGTGACCCGTCCCCCAGTGTCTGCTGAGATAAAGGCAAGACTTCTCTTT